TTCTTTCTAAATTAGAAATTCAAACCCCACAAAACAGACTCCTATGCTTTAAAATACTGTATGTCATTTACATCAGAGGTACCTAAAGTCAGAGATGTAAGGTAACTATGTACAAATACTTTGTTACTGTATTTAAGTAGAAATTTTGGCTATCTGTACTTTACTTGAGTAATTATTTTTCAGCCTACTTTTTACTTCTACTCCTTACATTTTTACACAGTTATCTGTAATTTCTACTCACTACATTTTTAAAAAAGATTAGAAGTAGAAAGTCGTTAGTCTTATTTCATTATGGCTTGTTGTTAAAAAAAATATTATCCTGATAAACATGCCTCCTGGACAGAGTGAAATTAGTTGTGGTTGGATGAGAAGTATAAATTTAAACCATTCTGATACTAGTTTGTACACAATCCATCACAGCTTCAGATGACACACGCACGCACGCAGGCGGATGGATGGATGGATGGATGGATGGATGGATGGATGGATGGATGGATGGATGGATGGATGGATGGATGGATGGATGGATGGATGGATGGANCCGATTTTATTTTGGTTTGTTATTGTTTTAAAAAATTATTCTGATGAATTGTGCCTCCTGGATCGAGTGAATTTAATTGTGGTTGGATGAGAAATATAAATATATATATCATTCTGATACTGTATTTAGTTTAGATACAACTAATCAAAGCTGCACGCCTTTAGAAAAAATATTTTTTTGAATAGGTCACCTCTCAATAAATGTATTTTGGAAAATCTAGCCACTCATTTTTACTCAATACTTTTACTTTTAATACTTAAGTACATTTTATGTCAGAAATTTACTTTTGATACATAAGTACAAAATATATTAAGATACTTTAAGACTTTTACTCAAGTAATATTCTTAGAGGAGACTTGAACTTTTACCAAAGTAATTTCATGATGACTTGTACTTTTACTCAAGTATCACTTTGAGGTACTTTATACAACACTGCCCAAAGTTGGGGTCAGGATGTGGGATATGAAACATTAAGTGAGGAAGACTTCCGTGCATCAATTTAAATGCAAATAAATTGTTACTGGAATATTTTCACCAAACTTCTTACCAAAAAACATAAATAAGTAAACGTAGTACCATGCTTATTAAGTTTGTTGATAACGTCCATAACAACGTTGTTAGCAAATTTGTAAGCTAAAACTTTTGAAGACCACTTACATTATTCAAACGCTTTAAACTTCATCACGCAAATTGCTCCGACCTTTAGCCTGCGCTGGCGCATGCGCACAAGGACTAAGCGCATCCCGTAGTTTGCTCAGCCCAAGTGCTTTTAAACATTTAAAATACAGCTGCAACTCGCTAATCATACATTAGAGTGGAGACTTTTGACTTACATTACGTTCTTACGAAGACAGGTGTACTGAATATTYAAATAGATGTCTTCCTCTCCTAAATTAAATTCTTGCCAGTTTCAGTCATTTAGGCGGCGCGCTGCTAATAAAAATAAGCATGAATGTTAGACACAAGTTATTACTCCTGCGTCAGTTAGATTAAAAACATTTATTATGTTTCTCTTCTTAATTTGTTTGCTAACCTACCAACTTACAGAGTTTCCATAAAAGTTTCTTCGTAACGTAACGTGCACCTCGACATTTTGTTTTACCAGTGAACTCCTTTCCTGGCGTTTTCCCCCGATGAGGCTGCAATACCCTTATTGACCACTGTGACTAAATAACATTGAACAGCTGTAATAACCCAGGGGGCGCTGTTCTACCCTTCTCAAATCAGGCGACACGATATTTAAAAGACGTGCTACTAATATATAT